GAATCTTGTCATCTTTCCATCTCTGGGCAAGGAGCATCCTTGCAGCTGTTGTAGCATCCATAAACAGTCTTTTCAGTTCCTTTGGTATCTCTGCACCTACAATTCCTAACAAAAAGGCTTCTGGTTTTTAAACAAACGTTATTTAAAAAAATAAAAATCTTCAATTCAACGTATATCATTTCCCAGAATTCCTTTGTCACTTTAAGTTGGCTTCCTTAAAATGCATCCCCCCCCAGCCCTATTCTGAATCCCAGTTGCTGGGAAATGGGGAGAGTGTTGTTACATTCAGGTCCTGCATGTGGACTTCCCATAGGCATAGGTTGGCCGTTATGAAAACAGAGTTCTGGACTAGATGGGCCTTTGGTCTGATTCAACAGGGCTCTTATGTTCTTGGGAGACAGAGCAGCCTACTACTACTACTACTACTACTACTACTACTAATTTATACCCCGCCCTCCCCAGCCAATGCCGGGCTCAGGGCGGCTAACAAGCAATAATAAAAACAAGTTGAATGATTACAACTTAAAAACAAAATTAAAATACAACATTAAAATATTGAAACATTAAAGTATTAAAATGTAGCCTCATCGCAGGAGGAGAAAGGAAAAGAAAAAAGAAAGAGAGGGAGGGAGGGAATCAAATTGGCTCCAAGCCAAAGGCCAGGCGGAACAACTCTGTCTTACAGGCCCTGCGGAAAGAAATCAGATCCTGCAGGGCCCTGGTCTCATGAGGCAGAGCGTTCCACCAAGCTGGAACCAGAGTTGGAAAGGCACTGGCTCTGGTTGAAGCCAATCTAACTTCCTTAGGGCCCGGGACCACAAGGGTGTTGCTATTTATGGACCTTGAGGCACTCCGTGGGGCATACTGGGTGAGGCGGTCCCGTAGGTACGAGGGTCCTAGACCGTGAAGGACTTTAAAGGTCAAAAGCAGCACCTTAAATCTGACCCTGTACTCCACCGGGAGCCAGTGCAGCTGGAAAAGCACTGGGTGAATATGCTCCCATGGCAAAGATCCCGTGAGGAGCCTCGCTGCAGCATTCCCATGAGGCAGGATGAAGTGTGTGCCTCAGGTGGTAGAAGCGAAAGAGTCAGGGCTCTGCCCATCCCACTTCCAGTGCCGAGAGGGAGGCATTCCAGTGCATGGTATTCCCGGCACACATCACTGCCACTCATCTTCCTCCCCTCAGACAGAGAAGCTGAGCAAGTGGTAGTGATTTAAGGAACATCCCAGCTCCCACCAAATTTGGCAAGAGAAAGGTGGAGCAGCAAAAGGAGGTACGGCAGCAGAATAGGGGCGGGGGTAGGAGATGACAATTCCTGTTTCACCTCAGGTAGCAAAACGGGAAGGACCATACCTGTTAGGAAATCTCAGGGTTTTCTTTTTCCTAAGAGTGTGACATTTGAAAGTTTTCTCTGATGCCCCTTGCCATCAGAATCTGAGCATCAGAGATGACACCTTGTCTTCCAGTAAACATCTCATCATTGTGATTATCACCCGCTGCACCAATCACTGTCTACGCATATCTGTCCATTTCTTCCCTGCACTCAAACCTCACTCAAGAGTCCTCCCTGCCAGAGGTTGCTGAACACAGGTGCTTGTTATGTCGGCAAACATAAAAGCGCCGATGAATTATTCCTTTCACTAAAGCCAAGCCGAGAGTCATTGGCCTGTGGTCTTGTAAAATTAACGTGCTCTGCAATAAATAATGACACTGTAATGGGTTGTCATTGATGGCTTTTTGGAAAAGGCTTGGTGCATAAGTGCAAATGTTTCAATGGCCAGTAATTGAAATTAAATGAAACCCGTCAATGTTAGGCTTCCGGTGACCCACGCTAGGACAAAAATCTATCACGCACTGGGGGGAAATATGATGTCTCTCAGGCTGTATCAGGAAGGATGCTGTGAACAGAATGCTCTTTGCCTGCATGTGGCTTGATTGGTTGTGGCTTAGGGCAACTTCAGAAATTTAGCCAAATCAAGTGATGTGGGATGGCCACTTTGGGCTGCAAGTCAGTGGCTGCATTAAAAAAAAAAACTTTTTAGAAAATCTTTCATTTGACCAAAGATCTCTGCATGTACAAATTCTGTGAGATGTAATCCATTGGTGCAGTCAAATGCAACATTCCTTATTTCCCTAGAGTGGGCACAGGCAGGGGGACATCCAGTCAGTGTAACTTCCTGTTCCACTGGTCTGGAGTTTCCTCCTCCTGCATGTGATCTGGGAGATGAGTGTGGCCCTGGCTGACTCCTTAAAAGAGCCGAGTCATGCAGCCATTTTCTCAGTCTCCAGTTTGACTTGATAGTGCTGTTGTCTTGTTCTATCTTTTGCTGCCATGCTACTCTCCTGCAGCCATTTTGTGTTCTGTTAATGTAATTTTTGCTGTCTGCTGGCTCCCAGCCAGCAGCACATGAGTTCAGTCTCCCTATGAGGTTAACTCACAGTTTCTTTGTGTAACTACCAAGTAAAGCCTGCCTTTCAGGGATCATATCGTGAACTGAAATGTGAGTAAACTTTTTGTTAATTTACTCTCGTGTCTTTATTCTTTTAAGAGGGAATAAAGTGGACACCAGGAAATAAATTTAATTAAGGGATTCAAACGAATCTGCAAACGAGCTTCCAGCTATATTGAGGGGAATCTGCTCTGCTATATCACTTACTAGTGTGAGTGAAGGAAAGATAATATTTATTCAATATATCCTTTCCTACTATCTTTAACATTCCCACAAATATGCCATGTCAAAATTAAGGGCACATAGCAAGCTTATTTACATGAAGTTAGACCACTGGTGTATTTAGCTCAATATTAACTATGTTTTCCAGTAGCCGCTCTCCAGGGTTTCAGATACAGTGGTACCTCGGTTTAAGAACAGTCTTGTTTACGAACGATTCAGTTTACGAACTCCGCAAAACCGGAAGTAGTGTCCCGGTTTGTGAACTTTACCTCAGTCTAAGAACAGAATCCAAATGGTGGAAGGGCAACAGTGGTGGGAGGCCTCATTAGGGAAAGCACGCCTCGGTTTAAGAACGGTTTCGGTTTAAGAACGGACTTCCAGAATGGATTAAGTTCGTAAACAGAGGTACCACTGTATAGGTCTCCCCCATCCTTAGCTGCAGATGCTGGAGGTTGAACCAGAGACCTTTGCTCCACCATACACTGCATCCAAATGCTTTATTTTTCAAATGCTGATGGCGTCACAAGTCAGCATGATCAGGTATTTGTTGAGAGCCCTCTGGACCCTAGCAGGCTGCTTCTTGAACCAACCCCTCACTCTTGCAAAGAGGGAGCAAGCAGAGGTGGTGAGGTGGACAAAGAGGAGAAACTTCCCAGTTCTTGCTTGTTCACTGGTTCTCTGCATGGTAAGTTAGCAGGTGCTATCAATGATGATGAAGAAGAGCAGCAAAAGCAGCCAGTGACGATGGCAGTGAAGGGGTTAGGCTCACTGAGGGAAGGGGACCCTTTGATGGTTTCTCATCCAAGCCAGCCCTTCCAAAACCCAGAGCCTTCAGTGCATGCAACCACCCACACTTCCCCTACAACTGAGGTAATACAGTGGATGAAAACTTTGCCACTCCATTTTTGCTGTTTGTATAAACAGGATCTTTCTTTATCTGTATATTCAACACATACGACACCTTTCCACTGTCAAGGACATTTCAGGCATTCTCATAGATCTACCACAACAGTGAAAGGACCAAAAATAGCACTGAAAACATTAAAATGAACTCTGTGACAACACTCGAGAACAACAGCTGCAGGTATGTGCACCTCCTGCAAAGGTCTTGTAATGGAATAGGAAAGTCCTGAGACACCAAGAAGGATCCAGCCTAGAGCATTATCATACTGCCGTATTTGGATGTGGAAGTCACTGTAGTGAAATAGTTAAGAGTTTGAGGCTAGGAGCAGGAATGCCTCAGTAAGTCCCTCATTCTAACCTACCTCACAGAGTTGTTATGACGATATAATGGAGGGTGTAAGAGAGAAAATCTTTTATGCTGCCCTGCCCCTTTAATTGAGATTCCTGCATTGCAGGAGGTTGAACTAGATGACCCTCAGAGTCTCTTCCAAATCTACATTTCTATGATTCTATTATCTTCTTGGAGAGAGGATGGGATAGAAATGTAAGCAGTAATAATATTACATTCAGGGCATGTGAGCATGCTCAATGGATCAGACACATGCACTGAGTTCTCGGATCTTATTGTTATCAATCTGAGAAGGGAGAAGTAAGCTGTAAGTGAGATCCATCTAATCCATGGATCCTACAAGTGTAAAAATATAGTAATCCAGGCTAGCTTGTGTGTTGAGGTGATTGCCTGGGTGATGGACCATTAAGAGAACAAAGGACAGGGGGCTTTGTGCAAGAAGCTTTACCTTAGTATATGCATTTTTTTGTATACATTACTTTGCTTACCTGGATGGAAAACTACACAGCAAAATTGGAAGAAGGGCAAATTTTGAAAGATTTGTTTGTTTCAGTTCGTGTATTGTTTTGGAAAGTGCTGATTGGGTAGGTTCACCTTTAAATGTGAGCTAAATTTATTCCCTCCATCCCATGGCTGTCCCTAGTGTTTAATGTATTTGTATTTCCTTTTCCCCTTCCCTGGCCCCAAGCCTAAAGAGCAATGTCTGTTAGATATCTGAGGAAGCTGCCGGATACTTAAGCCTGGCTACTAGCCCATCTCTCTAGGTGTTGTCTACTCTGACCATCCCAGTGGAGGTTGCTCTATTAAGGCAAAATGGAGCAGTGCTCCAAAAACCACAGACTGCCCTCAGCCAATTCCCACCTGCCTGCCTTCTTACTTACAACCAGTCCAGGGGGTGGCACTGCCTTCAGTTTCTTCCTCCTCCTCCTCCCTTCAGTGTTGCCTTTGTAGAACTCCGCAGAGAAGATGGAAACAAAACTAGAATTATTTGGTCAGTCATGGGTTCTGACCTCACCTACTGTTTGGGCTTCCAGCCTTCTACTCCACTAGTCCCAATATGCACCAGCCACCATTTCCACCAACACTTCTAGGGTATCAGGAACAAGTCTTTCCCATAATCACTCTACATCATTTTCTTTTTAATTGCCATGGATTGACCCTGGAGTTTGGAGGTTCTAGCAGGGGAGCACAGCTATCATATAGCCTTGACCACAGAACGGTATACTCCTTCCATCTGTGGTGGTCGTCATCCTCCACCAAGCGCACAGTTTTGGAATGGATGCACATGGAGTGGTGAGGAAAGAATGGGACACCCGCCTAGCCAGCCAGATCAGCCGAATCAACCCTGGTGATCAATGAGGTGACAGATGTTGCAGCCAGATCATCCTCACATCCAAAAATTCTGACATGCTTTTTCCATACAAAAGGTGGCAATCACATACCATCAGCACTTGAAGTGTTTAAAGCTAAACCCCTAGCACAGTTATTATATGGGGCTCAGATCTGGACAGGCACTCACCTTGGATCTACAGAAGCTGTTCAATCTAAGTTCCTAAGGCAATTTCCCCCCCTGTTCCATCCTGTGTTCCAAATGCTTCATTACACTTAGAGGCTAATCTCCCCTCTGTTGAATTACAGATTTGGTGCAGGACGTTTAATTATTGGCTTCGCCTAAATTTAAACCCCCCCTTAGTATCGCAAGACTGTCATGAGAGCACTTGGACTAAAATTGTCAACCAAAAACTTTACTTTTCTGGTTTATCACCACAACAGTTACGAACACTGGGTTTCAGTAAAGCTAATAATTTAATTAGACATGATACTGAGTGACAGAATAATTTGACCACAATAAGGAAATTTTGCCCATGGTATGATTATTTTCCATCTAGTCATTTTGACACTTTGGCACCCTATTTGCAAAATTTAACCATTCCAAAATACTGACACACTTTCACTTTTGCAAGAATGAATAGGGAGGCCCCATTAGCTAAAGTGGTACCTCAGGTTAAGAACAGTTTCAGGTTAAGAACAGACCTCCGGAACGAATTAAGTTCTTAACCCGAGGCACCACTGTATTTACATAGTGTAAAAGGCTGCTATTACTAATTTTTATTGTTATTACACAGGGAGAGCTGTGGTACTAGGCACCTGATGTTAATCAGTAGATCTTACTTGGATTTCAGAACACCCACCTCAGAAGAGAGATAGCATGGTAGCTCACTTCAGCTGCTCTTGCATAAGCAGTCCTCCCTGATTGTTTAGCCTTGCAGCTGCAGCTCTCAAATCTCCCAGTGGGATGAGACTCTTTGGGGCTATAAGTGGGTCTTCAGAGAAGTTCGCTCAGCCTACATCTGCATCCCCAGCTGTCTTCTCAAACGCTACGTCTTTCCCTCCTGGAGAACAGGCCACAATCCCCCGATGTGAGTTTAAGAGCTCCCATGCAGCACTGCGTGTGTGGCCTAATTGCATGTAACAAAACACTGGCTCTCACGAGAGAGAGGGGTGTTTTGTAGCGAATGCACAGATGAGGGAACCTCTCCAGGAAGGGCTGATTAATCTTGCTTTCCAAGCCACAGGGAATGCTCCTTGAGAAACAGTTTTGACTGTTCAAAAAAATGTACACATAAACATGGAGGACAGGCATATGCTTCAGGGCTTCATTCTGAAGGGCAAGGGAGCAGGCAGATTGGGGAGCAGGGAGGAGGAAGGAGGCAAATGTATTCCTAACAGGCTGTGGCAATTTCCAGGCACTTCAGAAAGGCAGAGCAAAAAAACACACCCATTTCATTATCCCGGAAAAGAAGCTGAATGCACGGCACAGTGGGTCGTTGAAAGGATTAATATGGTCTAATTATGAAGACTGCTTTCCGACAGAGGGTTTTGAGGCACTTTATAAAACATTAACTAATCAGGCTATGCAGCAACTACTCCTCTGGGGTCAGCCGAGTTAAATCCATGATGCCATCTGGTAAACTGAGGCACGCCAAAGTGGCAGGGGCAACTGAACAACAGAAGAAAGCGGCCATGTAAAACAGTCTATTTTTAATGGAAAGGACATAACACACCATTGTCATACCCCACAACTGTCCCAGGAAAACTGGGACATCCTGTTTATTCACATGAGAGCACAACAGCCATTTTGGGTGCCACAATCTCATCCTGGAAAAAAGCCTCTTTTTTTCAAGGTCGTGATCTTGTACAGGTCAAATGACTTGCCCGGGAGTGTAGCCTGGAAGACACACATCCTGAGTTTTGGGCTGGACACGTTGGAGGATATATGTTGCTCTCCTCGCTTCCCTAAGTCCTATTTACAACAATAAGTAGAGGGGTTGGGTTGGGGTTTTTTTTTGGTGTGTGTGTGTTTTTACGAAGGGGCACGTCTGCATTTCATTTCCCTCCCCTTTCCCCTGATAAGAGTGATTTCTTAACACTTTGGCGAAATGTGGTAGAAGACTGGAGTAAAGTTCTGGGAGGGAGTATATGTCCCAAGGCTTTGCTTCTTGACATACTTTTTAAGGCATGCACGAAGCATTCCATCTTCCGGCCATTAAAAATATGGCCTTCCTTTATTTGGAGCTGAAATAGTACACTGCAGTATTCTACAGCCTCAGTCTGCTGCCTCCTCTTTCTAGTTAATGGGTAAAGGTACAGATAAAGGGACCCCTGACAGTTAAGTCCAGTCGCGAACGACTCTGGGGTTGTGGCACTCATCTCACTTTTTAGGCTGAGGGAGCTGGTGTTTGTCTGCTTCTGCAGACAGCTTTTCTGGTCATGTGGCCAGCATGACTAAGCCGCTTCTGGCAAAGCCAGAGCAGCGCACGGAAATGCCATTTACCTTCCCGTCAGAGCGGTACCTATCTATCTACTTGTACAGTGTGCTTTCAAACTGCTAGGTTGGCAGGAGCAGGGATTGAGCAACAGGAGCTCATCCCGTTGCAGAGCCTCGAACCGCCGACCTTCCGATCAACAAGTCCAAGAGGCACAGTGGTTTAAACCACAGCGCCACCCACATCCCTTAGTTAATGGGTAAATTGGCTCTAATGTTCTGGTTCTAATGCAGTAAAACAGCTGGGGAATCTTTTGCAGCTTGTGGGCCGCATTGTTTCATAGGCAGCCTTCTGGGGGCCACATGCCAGTGGTGAGCTGGGCCAGAGCAAGAGGTGCACCTGTCACCTTTGAATAGTAAAATTCAGAGGTTTCTACATACACCCCGAACCGCCACTTTTCTAGCCTCCATCCAGCAAGCAAGAGGCAATATCACAGACTCTCCAAGTGTCCCTATTTCCCAGGGACATCCCTGATTTAGAGAAGCCATCCCAGTTTCTGATTTGACCCCAGAATGTCCCACTTTTCCTTAGGATGTCCCTATTTTCATTGGAGAAATGTTGGAGGGTATGATAGGATTTTCATTGGAGAAATGTATGGCGTTATCCAACCCCCAAGCTTTCTGTTTTTTTTTTTTTTTAATAATATTTTTTATTGCATTTTTCCAGATAGAAATACAAGGTCAGATATACAAAGAAATAACAGAAAAAAGAAAGAAAAAGAAGAAAATCATCTTTTCAAAAAATTTTTCAATAACCAACCGGACTTCCCCGTCCCCCTCACCTTGCGTTCTTTACAATAAAATTTTTCAGCAAATTATAACCTTATTTCGTGCATTCTTTTGTTCTTTCAAATACTTGTGATTTGCGTTTAAAATGCTTATTGTCAATTTACACTAATAATATATATAATGTTCTTTTAAACGTTAGTCCTTTCATTAATATAGCTTAGTTTCCCATACCTTAATCTTATTGCTGGAGCTGAATTTCCCTAATCATGCGAATTCTTAACATTCATATAACTTATAAAATTTTTGTAAATAATCTTTAAATTTTTTCCAATCCTCCTCCATTGCTTCTTCCTCCAAATCTCGGATCCTGGCGGTCATCTCGGCCAATTCCATGTAGCCCATCAATTGCGTCTGCCACTCTTCCAGCGTGGGTAAATCTTGAGTCTTCCAGTATTTTGCGATAAGAATTCTTGCTGCTGTAGTTGCATACATAAAAAGGTTCTATCCTTCTTTAACACCTTCTGACCGACAATGCCCAGTAGGAAGGCCTCTGGTTTCTTGGGAAAAGTGTACTTAAACACTTTTTTAACTCGTTATAGATCATTTCCCAGAAGGCCTTCACTTTTGGGCAAGTCCACCAGAGGTGAAAGAATGTCCCTTCAGCCTCCTTACATTTCCAACATTTATTATCAGACAAATGATATATCTTAGCAAGCTTGACTGGGGTCATGTACCACCTGTATATCATTTTCATAATATTCTCTTTCAAGGCATTACATGCCGTGAATTTCATACCAGTGGTCCATAACCTTTCCCAGTCTTCAAACATAATGTTGTACCCAATGTCCTGAGCCCATTTTATCATGGCTGATTTAACTGTCTCATCCTGAGTGTTCCATTTAAGCAGCAAGATATACATTCTCGAAAGTACCTTGGTCTTTGGTTCCAACAATTCTGTCTCTAGTTTCGATTTTTCCACCTGGAAACCTGTTCTTTTGTCCAGCTTAAAAACCTCTTGAATTTGAGCATAGTGAAGCCAATTTTGCACCTTATTCTTTAATTTTTCATAACTCTGCAGCCTCCAAGTTTCTCCTACTTTTTCTATAATTTCCCCATATTTCAGCCAACCAACCTCCATATTAGGTTTTTCCGGGCCTTGGCCTCTGCTGGTGAAAGCCACCTCGGAGTCTTACCCTCTAATAAGTCCTTGTATTTTGTCCAGACCATAAATATTGATTTTCTAACAATATGATTTTTGAACATTTTATGAACCTTTGCCTTGTCGTACCACAAATATGCATGCCAACCAAAAGCATTATCAAACCCTTCCAGATCTAGAACATCAGTGTTCTCAAGAAGTAACCAATCTTTCATCCAGCAGAAGGCCGCAGCTTCATAATATAATCTCAAGTCCGGCAGGGCAAACCCCCCTCTTTCTTTCAAATCAGTTAGTATTTTAAACTTTATCCGGGGCTTTTGCCCTGCCGGACAAACTTAGATATATCCTTCTGCCACTTTCCAAAACATTCCACTCTGTCCACAATCTGTAGGGTTTGAAACAAAAATAACATTTTCGGCAATACATTCATTTTTATAGCAGCAATTCGACCCAACAAGGAAAGTTTCAATCTTGACCAGATTTCCAAATCTTTTTGATTTCCAGCCAACATTTTTCATAGTTGTCTTTAAATAGATTCAAATTTTTCGCTGACAAGTGAACCCCTAGGTATTTCACTTTTTTACCACACTTAGTTCTGTTTCCTTCTGAAACCCATCTATTTCTGAGGGTGTCAAGTTTTTCCCCAAAACCTTAGTTTTTGCTTATTCAACTTAAATCCCGCCACCCGACCAAACTCATGAATCAATTCTAATACTCTTTTGTACTAGATTCTGGCTCCTGTAATGTTAAAACCAAATCATCTGCAAAAGCTTTCAATTTATATTGTTTCGCTCCGACCTGTATTCCTTGTATCAACCGGTCCTTCCTAATCATGTTCAGTAACACCTCCAGGACTGAAATAAATAAAAGGGGGGATAGGGGGCACCCTTGTCGTGTCCCTTTTTCAATTTTGAACTCATCTGTCACCACATTGTTTACTATCAATTTAGCTTTTTGCTCAGAATAAATTGCTTCTATTCCATTTTCAAACCCCCGTCCCACTCCCATCCCTTCCAGGTTTCTCTTCATAAACATCCAAGAAATATTATCAAAGGCCTTCTCCGCGTCGATGAAAATTAACACAGCTTTCGTATTGATATTAGTTTGTAAAAGTTCCAAAATATCAATAATGTTCCTGGTATTATCAAAAGATGTCTCCCTGGGAGAAAGCCTGCCTGGTCCTTATGAATTACTTCGTTAAGTATTTTTTAAGTCTGCTCGCCAAAATATCAGCAAAAATTTTGTAATCCACATTTAGGAGTGAGATGGGACGGTAGTTCTTAAGCTGAGTCTTTTCAGATTCCAATTTAGGAATCAATGTGATGAAAGCTTCTTTCCACGTTTCCGGTGCCCTCCTCCCCTCCATAATCTGGTTACAGACCTCCATTAGTGGTTGTATCAAATAGTCTTTTAGTGTCTTATAGTACTTGGAGGTAAGTCCATCTGGGCCTGGAGATTTACCTAGTTGCATATTCTGAATGGCACCCTCTATTTCCTGTCGTGTTATTCTATTATTTAAGATTGTCCTCTTCTCCTGAGATAGTTTGGATAGACCGTTAACTTTTAAAAATTGATCTATCTCAGACGCTTCCTGAGGCCCTTGTGTATAAAGTTTTTTGAAATATTTCTGGAAACACTTTCTAATTTCTTCTGGTTTCTGAATGTTTCTCCCTTCCACCTCTAGATTAGTGACAAAGTTCAATTTTTGTCTCTTTTCAACTGCCATGCTAGCAGTTTTCCACATTTATTTGCCGATTCAAATGATCTTTGTTTCATTTGTTTGATTTTCCATTCCACTTCTTGATTTATCAATTTCGCATATTGAGCTTGGTGGAATTTGATTTCTCTTAAAACCTCTTTTGATTTTGGTTTTAATCTCAATTTTTTCTCTCCTTCTCTTATCTTCTCTAATATCCTATCTTTTTTCCCATTCCAAAGTTTTTTCTTGATTGTGTTCTGTTGTATCAGAAACCCCCTCATTACAGCTTTACTTGCGTCCCAGATTGTTCTCTTTTCCACCGAAGTGTTCAAATTGATTTCAAAATAGTCCTTTAAAGTTTTTTGGGCCTTCTTCACAATCTCCTGATCTCTTAGTAGGGTGTCATTCATTTTCCATCTGAAAGAACCGGTTGGAGTAAGTCTCAATTCCACTTTCAAAGCATTATGGTCGGAGCAAGTCTTTGGACAGATTTCCACTTTTCTGATCTTAGGTGCCAGTCCTCTAGTTGTCCATATTTGGTCGATTCTTGTCCATGATAGGTGGGCCTCAGAAAAAAATGTTCCTTCTTTACCTAAGGGGTTCCTTGTCCTCCAAATATCAATCAAGTCCATGTTATCAGTTAGTTCAAAGAAGGTTTTAGGTAGTCTGCCGTCTTTAGTTAAATTTTGATTTTGTGACTTATCCATGTGAGTAGAAACCACCCCATTCATATCGCCCATCATTATGATGTTGGTATAGTCCAGATAGTCCAGCATTATCTCATGCAGCTTCTTGTAAAATTCCGATTTCCCCTCATTTGGTGCATATATTCCTAAAATCAAAAACTTTTCTCCTTGTGTTTGTATCTCAATTGCCAAAATTCTTCCTTGCTCATCTTTAAACAGAAATTTCGGTGACAGGTTCTCCTTTGCATAAATCACTACGCCTCTTTTCTTGACTTTGTCTGATGAAATAAATTCTTGGCCTAGTCTTTTGTTAATTAACACTTTCCTATGGAGCCTAGTCACATGCGTTTCCTGCAAGCAAACAATATCCAATTGTTCTTTTTTCAAAATATGAAAAATCCTTCGTCTTTTTTCCGGGGAATTCCCGCCATTTATATTCCAACTGTACAGCTGCAGAGACATTCTGAATCAATCTGTTGTTCCTATAGTGGGGTGTCTTCCTTTTCTTCCGGCCCCGAGGGTGTAGGTATCGGTGCTTTTCCAGGCAGTGGCGGTGGCCAAGAGGCTGCTGCTCCCTTCTGAAGGTCTTCTCCGTGGTCGTGCAGGAACTTCTGGTTATCTTCTGATGTTTTAATCTTAATTTTCTTTCCTTTAAAATTAAAAGATAAACCTTGGGGAAACTCCCACCTATATGGAATCGCGTTTCCTCTCAGTAGTCTTGCTAGGTCTGTATATGTGGCTCTGAGATCCAAAAGTTGTTTAGGAATATCTCTATAAAATTCTGCTCTTTTGCCTTGGATATCAAGTGATTTCTTAAAGTGGAGGCCTAGTATTTTATCTCTCTCCTGCTTGGATCTCAAAATAATCAAACAGTCTCTGGGCTTGTCCCTCCTCACGACTCTTCCTAATCTGAACGCAGTTGTGATCTTGAAATCTTTGTCCTCTTCTATACCCCAGAACTTGGAAAATTCTGCTGTCAGATAACCAATTAAATCTTCCTGTTCAAGCTCTGGGATAGCTCTTAATCTCAGATTGTTTTCCCGGTTTCTCAATTCCACCATAGACAGGTAAGCCTGCTGATCACTAATGTGCTTGTGTAGTGGCCTTACCCCCCTTTTATAGCCTCAACTTTTTGATTTGCTTGTTCTGCTTTTTCATTGGCTGCTTCAGCCAGTCTCCGATTTTCCACAGTTGCTTCCTTAAGATTCCCAATAACTTGTGTATGTTGTGCAACTTGGTCAGACAATTTAGTAATAGAGGATGTGGCTTGATCTATTTTTGCCGATTGGTCATCCACCTTCTTGTTCAATATTGCAAATTGTTCTAACATTTGTTGTAAGAAGGTATCTGATCCTCCCTCTGCCATATCCTCTGATGCAGGCTGTGCAGTTTCCTTTTCTTGTACTCCCAAAACAGCTGGGACAGATGATCTACGTGACTGAGTAGTCAAAGTTGTTTGCACAAGTTGGGCTTGTCTTGCTTTCGTTTTCGCAGATCTTGTTTTCGGTTGGCCACTCATTCCACACCTGTCTATGAGTCAAGGTCAAGCTGTATATTGTCCCATGGGAAGGACAGTTCCAAAGTGTAAATAACAGAGCAGCAGATAGTCCAAATAAAATTTGTTCCCAGGCACTTGTAATTCCAGAACTCCACTAGGGGGAGTATTACTGTAGTTCATAGAAAGGAAAGAACTTTATCCGCCATTAAAGTCCCTGCAGCCTCAAAACAGTCTAATTTACCAAAAGTTCTTCATAAACTTTTTTAGCTTACAGAGCACTTCCCAAGCTGCCACAAAGTCTCAGATAAAAGGTGCCAGTAACAGTTTATTTAATTGTATCTTGCCAGTATCACTCAACTGTAACAGTCTCTATTTTGGATACAATTTCCGCAATGACAGCTCTCTTTTTTTCAGTCAGTCCGAGGTTTGGTTCTTAATTCTTTATAATCCATAAAGGGGAGGAAAGTCCCATTTAAAGTCCAAAACACTTAGAAATAAAAATCTTTTCTCCTTCTTTTTAAAAGCCAATTCTATCAACACGATAGTCCCAAATTTATAATCTTTTAAAACTGCTTCCCGCTTGTTAAAATCTTTGCCTTTGATCTTTAAAGCACTGCCAGAAGACGGACTTCCTGTTTATCGTCTCCCGCTTTCAGCCAAATTTCACACTTTTAGTCCCAAAATGATTGATCCTTACTCACGAGTAGGTAGTTTAGAGCCTGATGTTCCAAGAAGAAAGGTCGGCGCTCATCAGCAGCAGCCGCGCGGCTTCACTCCCGCAGAAAGAGCGATGAACTCACAGCACCGCTCCCCCTTCCACGTTTCCGGAGCCCCTTACGGGGTTCCTTCTTCGTTTTTGGGGTCGCTCCTGGTGCCCGCCGAGTCCCACGGCCACGGGCTCACTCTGCCCGTGGTTTTCCTTAATGGGTCACCGCTGTGCCGCAGCGGACGACCCTTTTCTGCGGAGCCCCTCTTCAGAGACCGAAGAGGACCGCCATTGCCGTTTCGCGCCGCCTCCAGGAAGTCCCAACCCCCAAGCTTTCTGAAGGCAATCCTGCACAGGGAAGGGTTTTTAAATGTTTTATTATGTTTTTATATATGTTGGAAGCTGCCCAGAGTGGCTGGGCAACCCAGTAGGATGTGTGGGGTAAAAGTTAAAGGTAAAGGGACCCCTTAACATTAGGTCCAGTCATGACCGACTCTGGGGTTGCGGTGCTCATCTTGTTTATTGGCCGAGGAAGCCGGCATACAGCTTCCGGGTCATGTGGCCAGCATGACTATGCCGCTTCTGGCGAACTAGAGCAGCGCACGGAAACGCCGTTTACCTTCCCGCTGGAGCGGTACCTATTTATCTACTTGCACTTTGATGTGCTTAAGTAAGAAGTGTGGGGTATAAATAGTAAAATTATCATTATGGAATGGGACATTTTCATTGGGGAAATTTTGGAGAGTATGATATCACAGATCAAGGACATGTTCAACACACTGAGGAGGGTGCAGAGCTGGGCCATTGAGGGGTGCAGTTTGAGGATGGGGGCATGTCCTGGAAAGATGTGTGTCTTGGAAAGAGTCCTGAGAGCCAGATAGAGAAGCCTGGAGAGCTTCACTCAGCCCTGGGCCTCAGTTCCCCATCCCTGGGATAGAGGAAGCAGAATGGAATGTGTCAGTGCTTGAGCACCACACCCACTGCATCCATCCTGCCAGTGCTCTCCATTCTTCTGTCTGCAGCTTTGAAAAAGAACCAGCATCCTACGTCCCGCAGTCTCAGTTGAATCCGGTAGGAGAAGCAGACTAGCAAAGAAGAGGCAGAGGAGGCTACAAATAGTAATCAAGTGAGCAGGTGTGTGTAGCAGGCTGTCAGGCAAGGCTGAGACTTTACACAGTGGGGCTCCAGAACAGGACCCGGCAGGATCTGCCAGTCAATCCAAGCAGGCCATAAGCAAAGCTCTAAACTGATGGAAGTCACGTTCCAAGGCAGCAATCAATTCTCAGGAGTTCCAGAACAGCTATTGGGAAAGGGAGCATAGCAGTGCAACTGGGTAAGTGAAGATTCTCCATTACAGGGTTTCTCAGAGCTTTCCCTCTTTATCTGCAAGGTGTGTGTGTGACTCCTCTTTAGATCAGGGGTGAGGAACCTTTTGGGCTCCACATGCCAGATCGTTATCAGGATCTAACTTTACAAGCCAAATTTGAGGGATGAGCAGGGTTGCCTACCTGCCAATCACCTGAGGTCACAATGGCATCAGGCGATTGAGCAAATTGAAGTCCCACAGTTGGTGCTCAGGCAGTCTGATGGTAGCCAAAATGGTGCATTCATAGGACAGAACTCTCTTGGACAGGCTTGTGGTGGGTACAGCCCATCAGGAGAAAGAAGGCATAAGGCACTGAAGACTGACTGAAGGTGAGCCAGGTGAACTGTTCAATTGTCACTGAGAGACAGCCACTTGGCTACCCTATATGACAGTGGTAGCTCATGTGCTGCTTCCCATCACCTGACCATTGAGCTAGCTGACTCTGGCTGAGGGGTTTTTAGTCTGCACTATCTGGACGGCAGCATGTTGACTGCCCTTGCTGTATGGCTCACACCTAACAGCAACAGTAGCAGGCCCAGGAGTTTTTAGGCAAGGAACAGGGGAGCGACTGATTCTTCCTGAGCACCTGGCTTTGCCTAAGAAAGGTCTTGCCCAGAGAGAGCTCTGCCTGATATATCTTGAAGGGCTATGCAGTTCCTTCCTCTGGCTATCCCTCCTGCTGTTGCCTTGAGCCAAGGCTCTCAGAACACTTTCATTGATTCCCTTGGCACTGTACAACCAGGCCAATGAATTCAGAGTCTGAATCATTAGCCGCAACCTTTAGTCAGGAATGTGATGCAGTGAAGAAGTAGGCGGGAGGGGGAAGGGGAGGCGATGAATGGGGCAGGCATCTCTTTCTTCCCTTTCCCACCCAAGATCCCCATCAATCACTGTGCTGATTTCCCCAGGGACATCATCATTAAGTTCAAAAGTGCTGAGTCAGCCTCAACGAGCAACCTTGTGGGGAAGGAGGAGGTGGTAATCAACCCTGCAGGCTTCTGCTGCAGGAGTTATGTTACACTACGACATAGTCCTTTGCTGGCTTTTAAACCATCCCCGATGAGCTGAAGGTAGCAGCTGTATCCCACAGGGAGCCACAGTAATGTATCAACTACGTGCTCATTCCCTTCGGTGCCAATAATCCTCTAGCACCATGCATAATGAATTCCAATAAGGACAGCAGAATGCTATGAGCCAGGTTTTGATATGTGCTTGGGTTTTGCTTTTTTTTTTTTAATAAACAAGTTGGAGATCTAGAGAGCTTAACCTAGGACCCCAGGTCCAAAGGTTCACAGGAGACTGCCTTATACTGAATCAGACGATGGGTTCATCTAGCTCAGTATTGTCTTCACTGGCAGGTAGAAACTCTCCAGGATTTCAGACAAGTCTCTCCCATCCCTATTTGGAGATGCTGGGAATTGAACCTAGGCCATTCGGCATGCAAAGCTACAGCCCTTTAATGCCCTTTAATGCATTCAGAGTCATTCAAAGAATCTACTTGAATCTACTTTCAATCCACATTGAACCATGGCTTGCATTCCCAGTATAAACAGGTTACTATGCAAGTCAGGGAAACTAGCTAAAAAAAATAAGCCAATGGGTGATTTTCTACAGTGTGTTATCTGAAGTAGCCAGTGGTACACTGCAGGATCCCTTGCAAAGCTTTAAAGGAGTAGTTCCAGGATGACCTTTAACCCTTGAAAGCAACATGGCTCCACTTCTAATTCAGGCTGAGTCAAACCTTTTCTAGACAACCCTTTCAGTTCAAAAGTGAGCTTCTGCTGGAGGGGCTGTGTTATGCAAGGTATACACATACACCTTTGGTGGGAGTGTAGGATAGTAAGTTTTGGGATAAGGTTCTCAGACTTATTTCTGATATTTTACACTTTGAA